TGAGACTTTTTGCATCATTCAGTGGTAAAAGCTTTGCTCAAAAGCTTTGTTTTCTTTTCTTCATATGTTGTTGAGGGTCCAAAGAAAGACTTCAGACCAAAAAAAATCCAATATTCTTCCTATTTTTCTTGGCTCGGGCTTTAAAGGGTTAACGGGATCTCTCTCCCTTACAGCTGGTGATTGAGATCATCGACGCGGCCTCGGTGGTCACCTGGGACTTCGACGTGTGCAAAGGCGACATCGTTTTCAACATCTACCACTCCAAGCGCGCCCCCCAGCCCCCGCGCAAAGACCCCCTGGGGGCGCACGGCATCAGCTCCCCGGGGGTCAACAACGTCCAGCTCATCGACAAGTCCTGGACCCTGGGTCAGGACTACAGCAGGGTGGAGTCCCCCCTCACCTGCAAGGAGGGCGAGAGCGTGCAGGTACCAGAAATCCACCCCCAGCTCCTCCCACATCCGGGTCGGCCATTTTTATTAGGTCATGTGACTAGCAGCTTTCTGAGGTGGAGACGAAACTTTACTGTCTAAACGAAATCAGAAGATAAACGATGTCATAACCCTAACCCTAACTCTAAACCCTAACCCTGACCCTAACCCTAATCATAATCATAATCCTAACCCTGACCCTGATCCTGACCCTAAACCTAAACCTAACCCTGACCCTAATCATAACCCTAACCCTGACCCTAATCATAACCCTAACCCTGACCCTAACCCCAACCCTAACCCTGACCCTCCACCCTAACTCTAACAATGACCCTAACTCTAACCCTAAACCTAACTCTAAACCTAACCCTAACCCTGACCCTAACCCTCCACCCTTCATAATTTTGATAAATAAATATTTTCTGGTTAAACGTGTTTGGACTTATTGTACAAACCTATTTAACATCCACTATTTTAGCATAATATTATGCATAGAGTTTAATTCAGTGTTTGCAAGATTCATTTCACTACTTTTAAATGAATGTCTATATTGCCATGAAGCAATTAGGATTTTCTTGCCTGGGATCTTCCTATCGGTGACCTAATCAAAATTGCCTTGGACTTGGATGTGGTCGGGGTTGGGTATCCATCCATCTTGTATCCCAGACGTAGTTGCCCCTGGGCCCGTCCCTCTGTGGCCCCCCGGGGCTGATGTTTCCTGTGTCTCTGCCCCCCCCAGGGCTCCCACATAACGCGCTGGCCGGGCTTCTACATCCTCCAGTGGAAGTTCCACAGCATGCCGGCCTGCTCGGCCACCAACCTGCCGCGGGTGGACGACGTGCTGGCCACCCTGCAGGTGTCCTCGCACAAGTGCAAAGTCATGTTCTACACCGAGGTGCTGGGGTCCGAGGACTTCAGGTCGGTACCCAGAGGCCCATTCCCCAATCTCTGAGCTGTCACATGGACGTGGCTTTAGTATTTTCTCAATTGAATCAAAGCCTGACGGCGTTTTAGAGCTGCAATATCACCAACGACCAGCAGGTGGCAGCAAAAACAATCAAAACCCGTTTTAAGTTGGTTCTTTCTCATGTTATTCGTCTTTTTTGGGGGATTTAAAACACTGTTTGGCTTCTTCTGTGGAGCTGGAGGCTCATACATAAATTAAGACGCACTAAAATGATGATGGAGCCTCAAAACTGTGCACGCCACGCCTTTATTTCATCAACAGTTTTTGGCTTTTCACGAGCTCCAGGAGTTGAAAATCACGTTGCATTCAGGGTCATGAAGTATTTTCACAGTTATTTGGGGAAACTGTCACAAAGTTCAGCAGATACGAGCATAACTGTTCCCCCAGATACATAAATAGTCATTTTGAATACTCATTTTGAAATGCCTTTGAGTTTCATGAGGTTTTCCGGTCCCGAGTTGTGGGCTGGAGGTGCTTCCTGCCTTCCTGACTCCTTTAACTGGTCT